CAAGGCTTTTGAAGTTTCACGGGGGGGGGGGGGAGAGTTCTGGTGGCTTATGGGCAAATATGCTTTTCGCATTATTCAGACTTGCCTGAGGATCCAACCATGGAATGCGATATGGTGACTGCCCCCGGAAACATGCCATCAAAACCCCATGCAATCTCAAGCTAAAGGGGAATGTTTCCCTGTGTGCCACCTTAGAATCCGCCCCACCCAATAATAGACTATGTCATATTCAATCCCATAGTGTCAGATTGTTAAAAGATTACATTTAAAAATAATGAGCATGGAGAAATTGGCGGTTCAATATATTTAACAGTTATTAGTACCCTTGCAATAAGAATTGGACGACAGATACATTATGTATGTTTATGGTGCAATGCCATGGTAACCTTGAAATAAAACCAACTCTGGGCCCCACGAGGCATGTAACTAACACAGCTTGGTATTTAAAACCTACTCATCCAGGGTGAAGCACATTCCGGCACCAGATGTGCATGTTGCTATTTAAAACCCCATCTTCAGCTGCATGCATGCCGCACACTGCACATGTGGTATCTCAAATCCAGCTCACCCTCCTGGTAGCATTTCCAGCAGATGCCAGAATCCATGAAGAATCTATAGTACCCCCTGTGTCTAATGATAGTCTGAGAATCTGACGATGAAAAAAAAACTTAGGAAGTGTGTTCTGTTAAGCTGCCCGCAATCTTCTGTGATGGGAAATTGTCCGGGTCTTGCTATGATGTGATGAGCGCAAAATGTCACCAAGTATATCTTGCTATCTCTGGTGCAGACGGCTTTCTTCAGTCTGGACACACTGAGCCCTTCTGATGGGTGCTATGGGAAAGAACTGGATTCTCTCTGTGCCTTTAAGACACTCTTCTTGGAAAGATCAGACACAGAAGCAGTCAGCCACAGCACCCTAAGACAGCAGAGGGTTCACTACAAAACTCACTGGTAAAGAGTTGAGGAATTGTAGTCACTACAGGATGCTGTCTCCTGTGTGTCAGGATGACAGATTTTGGGAGCTCCCCAGCTTCACCTTGTAGGGTGTGGGGCATGTGGAGATGCTGGGTTTCAGGCTGTCCTAGTGAAGTGTAGGGCAGGAGGCAGTGTACATCCTGGAAATAGCTGGGCCTGGAATCCCGTCTGGGAAGCTCAGAGTCAGAGAGGGTCAGGGATACTGAAAGAAGGGAAAGGGACATTTTCTAAATTACTATATAGATATTTTAAAGAGTTGTATTAAATTTTGACTTTTTTGACATTCTTCGATAGCTGCCAGTAAGGACAAGAGATAGGTTATGTACTTAGTTTTGTCTCTCTGGGTAGCTCTGCTTGTCTTAGAACTTACTCTGTTCTCAAACCCACAGAGATCCACCCACCTCTGCCTCCTGAATGCTGGGATTAAAGGCGTGCGCCACCATACCCAACTTTATTTATTTATTTTTATAAATTAGTTGTCTTAGCTTAACAAAACAGTGACTATTTGAAGGGTCAGTGTGATGGCTTCAGAGGTGACACTCTGTGAAACAATTTGCACAATCAGGCTGACCTGCATCTGTTGACTGCAGTCCACTAACATCATGAAGACAGAAAGATGTCCTCTTAGAGTCCTGCAGTGCACCTTCCTCCTGGGTACCTGGAGGATGCTGATATGGATGAGGATGCGGATGCTGATGTGGATGTAAATGCTGATGCAGATGCAGATGCAGATGCTGATGCTGATGTGGATGCTGATGCTGATGTGGATGTGGATGCTGACGCTGATGTGGATGCGGATGCTGATGCAAATGTGAATGCGGATGTGGATGCTGATGCTCTGCTAGACCACTCCCAGTTCCTGACCTATAGAGTTAAAGACTGCTAAGATTTTAGGCCACGAACTTTGGGGTCACTTGTCACAGCAGTGAGTAGCCAGTAAAGCAATGAACTAGTGCCCTTCTGTCTGTGCTTAACATTAACTAACCAACACAAGAGCACCACATAAATGCCCCGACGGGCCACCTTTGCTACGGTTATTTTTGAAGACTAGGGAGTTGGAAGAAGCCTCCTTTGATTCTCTCATCATGTAAGAGTTTAGGAAAAAACGTTTCTCTTTTCCGGGCGTACAGGAAAGGGCGAGTTCAGGGCAAGAAGGACACCAGAGAAACACTTTGAGCAGATGGATCTATGCTCAAGACAAACACAGAGAGAGCGGAACCAATTTTTCAAGGGTGGCGAATTGCTAGACGCGTGTTTACCATCACTTATCTGCCTTGAAATCTGGCCCCAGTTATGAAAACTATGAGGCAAAGAGGAAACTAAATGGAGGGCACAGGGCCCCCGAGCGAGGCAAACGCTGGCTGTTGGGCTGTTGCTTGAGAACCTGGGTGTCGTCATCTCAAAACTTAAGAGGAGTGAAAATCCCAGCCAATCGCAGCAGACCGGAAGGAGCAGGCTTAGACTCACCCCAGGATGGAAAAGCTGTGTGGCCAGGAGGGTAGGCCCATCTCCCTCCTCAAAGCACCCAAGGTGGTTCATGGTGGTATTTGCTGGTATTTAGTCAGTATACAGGCCCACACTCTCCATCCAAGACCTTGTCACGCCAGTTCTTTGGCAAATGTTCCAGGAAGAGGGACATGGTCCTTCACTGTCACCTTCCCAGGTCCTGTCATATCTACTCCCACCTGAAGGTAGGCCATGGGCACTCAGCCACTGCCAATCCAGGCAGCTGTCTGTGGGTGATAAGAGCAGCCAGCTCTGCCTCTACAGGCTCAACCTCAGCTCTTAATAACCACGAGTCTGCAGCCAGGTTGACCTTAACTTCTGTGCAAGGCTCATACTCCCTAAGGCCTATTCTGGGAGCCAGGAGAACCAGAGTTCTGTGGCCCCAAGGTCCTCTAGTTCACCGCCTTCCTGCCAGCGCAGTGGACCCAACAGGACAGGACAGGACATGTCACACTCTGGCGTAGGCAGTGAGGCTTGCTTTGTCCCTAGGAGCCCTTCAAGCTAACTAACTATGCCTCTGGTCTGAGCTGCAACCTCTTTGCTCTGACATTTGCATCTGTATTCAGAACTCAGCTCTGGGGATTCCACGGGAGGGGCCTGTGTGGTCTGCAGTCTGATGGTGCAATCAGCAGAGCAAACTCTTGGCTTTCAGATCATGGCCTGGCTTTGTGAGAACAGAGTCAGCTGACTGATCTATATAGTTTCTCAAGAGGCCGGAGGTGACATTTTCTTCCCCGAGGCAAAGTCTGCTGGGAAGAGCTTCCAGTATCCTTGAAATTATTTCCTATAAGCCACACATCTAACACCAACTCTCCGAGGGTCAGTGAGGAGATCAGCCTGAGTGACAGCTCCTGAGTGACCGACCACAAGGTGAAGATGGAGAGTCAGGGTGTGTTCCTGCCTAAGACTAAGGAAGAGCCTCTGGGCAGGCACAGTGGGATGGAGGCCAGAAGGCTCCTGTCCTCCCCTCTGTGTTCTGAGAAGATCCCAGAAGACCCCCCCCCATCCCAGCCCCGCCCTGCCCCGCCCCGCCCCGCCCGCAGGAGCAGAGAGCCCAGAATGAGAGAATGAGGAACTGGATTTGCCCCTTGTTCACTACCTGGCCTGTGTCGGTAGGGCCTGCCTCTCACAGGAAATATCTACCCTTTCTCTCCTAACACACATACTCCTTCTGCCCAAGGTCTGACTCGTCCGCTGAAGGACGCATGCCTGGGCTAGAACACAAGGGTGACCCCGTCCTGTGGACCTAAAAACTGGAAATACCATGACTGGGGGAGTGACCATCCTGTACGATACAATTAAGGCACACAGCAGAATGGACCAGTGCCTTTCCAGTAACCCCGGGATCCAACCCTGGATTGGGTAGCAAGAATCCATCAGGTTACTGTGCTTGTCTCTGTGGAAATGCAACAACCTGTTGACACCTCATACTCTCACTGGTCCTTCTGAAAACGGTGCTGGTTCCAGAAGGACCCGAAATCCACACTCGTGTTCTGTATTTTCTCGCCTTTGGGTACCTTAGAGCTTGTTCATTTCAAAGACACTTTTAATGACTGGTGGGTGGTGTATGGGGGGTGGTGAAGTCACTTTTCCTGGGGTTTTTCAGTACCACGGGGGCCAATTTTCCTGTGAAAGGAAGATGCGGGCAAACCTCTTCGGCCATCTTTCACAAACATCCCTTTTATTCGCATATTCAGGACAACAACACATCAAGAAGCCTTGTGTGTGTCTGCTACTATGAGGGAGGCAGGGAAGTATCAGGAGGGGAGGGTCTGATGTGGCCCAGGCAGACAGAAGGGTTCCGTCTTCATCGTCTCTGCACAGGTTTTCAGATCCTGCCCCCTGAACACCTTGGAGAGTTGCACCGGGGGTCCTCATCATTTGCTCCCTTCCAGCTGGACTCAGGCCTCTCTCTGAGCAGGATGCAGACACAGCGCCTGATGGGCTTTCTGCTTGGCTCCATTCTGCAGGCCTCTGCCCACCCGTGGGGGCCCTCCGACGCCGTGACGTTCTGCATCCTCCGGAGAACTTTTAAAACGCAGTAACACACGTGACTTGGACGTTACAGGGCGTCTTTCCAGCTGTACTGCTCTCTGAGAGGCTTCCTTCGTCCCGTCTAAACCTTTACTCTCAGTCATCTCTTCCTCTTTCCCTCATCTCCTAGCTCCCACCCCACACCAGCTTTCTCCTCCCTCAGCTCCTCTTCCTTTTCCCTCTCCTATTCCCTTCTCTTAATATGGTCAACACCTTTCGGCTGTTTACTTCTATTCTAACTTCCTTAGATTTCCCATGCGCGGGATATAGCGAGATTTGTCTTCCGGGATGCTAGATATGTTGACAGGTTCTATTCAGCCATCCCGTAGTATCTAGATCTGGTTTCCCCATGCACTGTACTCTATAAATACATATAATTACCATGTGTTCATTGACACAAGCATGAGTAAAATAGATGCATTCAAATACACAAAGGTACCTGGGCCACGCCTGCCGCTTGTTCTCCAGACTCCCTCCCGTGCGCCTCATTTCTCGGCGTGCACTCTGTTCTGCCCTCGGCGAGGTTTCTTCCTTGATGGGTAGCAGCAACACAGTCTCATCAGGGCATTTCCTACCCTCCTTGTCCATCCCTTCAGGCCTCTGTGCTGGCCCCGGCTGTGGACGGACTTGCCCTCTGCTGCGGCGCCCTGCGAGCTTATGTTGTCTCCTGTGTTCTCACAGCTGCTGCTCGGTGAATAAATGCAGGGAGCACTCCTGGGACGTTGATGAGCCGGGTCCAGTATGGGTGTCCTCTGCATCGGCCCGGTGGCATGTCTGCCTCCCCTTTGACCCGCCTGCTGACCATTAGTGGATGGCCCTCCGAGTAACGTGCCAAGGGCCGGCTCACTTCCCCTCCTCCTTGGTTCTAGAGGGAAAGCAGTAGGATCTTCAAGGGAAGGGAATGGCGTCACCCCTGGATTCGGCGCGGGCTGAGCCCGGGTTGGGCAGCCATGCTTCTGGAGAGCCTGCCCTTGAAATAAGCAATAGGATGCCATGGTTTGGTTGAATTTCCTCTGATGTAGTGAATCTTTAATGTCCTGGGCTTGGAACCCAATGTGCTCCATGGCTTCCACAATTGCAGGGTCAGGCAAGCTGGGGACCATTTCCTCACAGCGATTTGGTAAATCTTCCACGTCTACCCTGAGCCAGGGGTGTGCCATCACTTCGGCTACAGTTGGCCTAAGGTTGGGGTTGACCGTCATCAAGAGGCTAAGCAGGTCCCGGAGTTCTTCTGACAGGCTGGAGGGGACAGCATACTTCCCTGCCACAACCTTCCTTCTCAGGTCTGCCGTGGTGAGAGCATCAAACGGGACCTTCCCGACTACCATGAAATATAGGACGACCCCCAAGGTCCATATGTCGATCTTGGGGCCGTCATAAAGTCTGCCGAGGAGGAGTTCAGGGGCACCAAAGGAGTAAGTTCCACAATGATAGCTAAGCTTTTGCCCGGGCTTGACTTGGGTGCCGAGGCCAAAGTCAATGATTTTGACTTTTCCGTTGTTATCCACCATGATGTTGTCTGGTTTCAGGTCGCGATGAATTATTCCAAGATCATGGCAGTAACTTACAGCACTTAGTATTTGCTTGAATATTCCCCGGGCCTCGTCCTCCAGCAGGTGGCCAACTTTCCGGATATACTGATACAGCTGCTGCCCCTCGGCCAGCTCCATGACGAGGTAGATTCTCTTCTCCGTCTCAATCACTTGGAGAAGTGAGATGATGTTGGGATGGTTGATCGTCATCATGATGTCTACCTCGGACATGACTGGATAGCACCACAGCTTTCTTTTCCGGAGCACTTTGACAGCCACCGGGGTGCCTGTGAGGCAGTGGTGTGCCAGTTTTACTTTGGCATAGCCTCCGTGGCCAATGGTCTTCAAGAATTTATACTGAGAGTAGAAACTCTGTTTATCAGAAAAGCTGAAGTCAGATCCGAGTTCTAGTATCTTGTCTTCACTATAAGAGTTCATTTTAGGTAACAACGTATAAATGCTACCTAAGAGAAAGAAAAAGAAGTAATGGAAAGGAAGAAGAAATTGAAAATGGAAAAAAGAAACAGAGAAAAAAAAACCCCAACCAAATTAATAACAACAACAAAAACCCAAAAAACCAAAAGCCACACACATACAAAGCCAAGAAATACAAAACAAATATACAAAGCCAGATATACAAAACAAGAACAAAAATAAACAAAAAACAAGTTGCAAGTCACTAGAGAGGAAGGGTAGTAGCTCAGCAACATGGAGAATAAACACTACTAAATGCCTAAGAAGAACAAAGAAATATGTAAAAGAATCAAATCTTTAAAAAATTAGAAAACTCAAACAACATAAAATTAAAAACAAACCAAGCTCCAAACAAGCAAAACTATATAAACACTAAAAACTTAGACATCAAAACAAAGGATAACCCCTCAAAACTCCTAGAATGTTCAAATAACAAAATAATGATAATAATAAAAATAATAAACACTAAGAAAACAAACAACCCAATGAATAATTGGGATAGGAACTGAAAAGGATGTTTTAGAAGACATACTAGTGGCTTAAGAATATCTATCTTCTATCTGTCTGTCTATCTGTCTATATTTGGTTTTTGAAGACAGTGTTTCTCTATGTAGCTTTTGGAGCCTGTCCTGGAACTCCATCTGTAGACCAGGCTGGCCTGGAACTTACAATAATCCACCTGGGTCTGCCTCCTGAGTGCTGAGATTAAAGGCGTGTGCCACCACTGCATGCATATACATATATATATACATATATATATGCATATATATTTAGAGAGATTGTAGGAACCAGAGGTTAGGAAGGACCAGAGCAAAATACGGTTTTCTTGACCTGATAGGAAAACTTCAGTCATGAATTCACTGCAGCTGTAGCTGCCTGCAGAAGACCTGCCCGAAATCAAGAAGTCAACAGTCCAGCATGACTACCCCATAGGAGGAGCTATCAACAGTTGATGGCTTCTGGGGCAGGGAGGGTCATTTCTCAAGAATGTGGCTCCTGGTAGGTCAACCACACTCTAATTGATGACCCCGCACCATGAGTATATGAGCACAAACTGGTATCAGTGGGCTTGTAAGTGACACAGAGAGAGGAAGTTGGGAGTTGGGGTGTGGAGATAGGGGATGGATCTAGGAGCGGCTGGAAGAAGGGTAGGGAGTGAATATGATCAAAATGAATTCTGTGGATGAATGAAATTCTCAAAAATACTATATTTAAAAAAAAACACCCAACAAACAATCAAGAGCTTAAAACTCCAAACAAAGCAAAAATACAACAAATAAGAAAACCTAGAAAAGCAAAAAAAGTCAGAAAGCCAAAGGTGACATAACAACCCCCCATAATAAAAACACAAAGGAAAACAAATAAATAAATAAACAAACAAGCAAACAAAAAACCCAAATCTTTAACAAACCCTGAAAACCAAAGCCAGCTAAAACAAGAAGCCAGAAAACCCAAAACATCAAAATTAAAACTCAACCGCCAGGCAATGTCCCAGCACTCCAGAGGCAGAGGAAGGCAGCTCTCCATGAGTTCCAGGCCAGCCTGATCTACAGAGTGAGTTCTAGGACAGCCAGAACTACACAGAGAAACCCTGTCTCTCAGGAAAAAAACCCAAACCCAAACCGTTACCTTAGATAGCCACAGGCTGGGCAGATAGTTCAGTAGCTAAATTGACACCCATGCAAAATAGAAGGGCCTAATTCTATCTCTACAAACCCCATGTAAAATAAGTAATTTGGGTGCATTTAATCTCAGTTTGTGGAGCTGGCATAGCAGATCCTGGGAGTCACTGGCCAGTCAAGTTCACCACTTGCCTAACCCCAGTCCTGAGAGAGAGACTGTCTCAAAACACATGGCTTACCTTAGAAACAATGGCCAAGTTGACTCCAGGACTCAACACTTTCCCCCACACAGGTGTTCCCACAGCTACCCACACCTGCACTGATAGGACTCAAAAAACGCGAGCGCACACACTCGTACAAACACACACACGTGAACTCACATTCACACACAGATATACCTACTCACACAAAAACACACAGGTACACACACACACACAAATAGATACTTGCACACAAGAGAACTTACACACACAAACACACACACGTGAACTCACACACAGATGTACCTACTCACACAAAAACACCCAGGTACACACACAAATAGATACTTGCACACAAGAGAACTTACACACACACACACACACACGCAAACCTACACACATATCTACATACACATGCTCATACAAACACAAGCACACACACACAAACCAAACAATCAAATGCAAAATTGACACACAACCTCACTAGATACACTAAAGTCTCACAGGGCACCTCTCCACAGCTCCTCTCAACACACCCAAAGAAATCCAGGCCTGGCCGCAGCATAAAACCTGCTGGCTGGACCCCTCACAATCGCTCCCCGTGAGGTCATAGCAGGACCTGCCCTGCCCTGACACAGCTGGGCAGGACGCACAGGTTCTGGCTCAGGTGGGCTATGGAGACTGGCCTTAGGCTTTTAGAAGCCAAAGCCTGAAGGACGCTGTGATGCCCTCAGTCTCTGGTTTGATTGTCTCTGCGCCTCCTGTCTTGCTGTCCGTGACACCTTTCCTTTGAATTCTGACTGATGGGTCCAAATGAGACTATAGCTAAATGTATATATAAAAGCTCTGCTCACGAAATACAATAAATCAGTGTATTACTACTGTGAGACTGACAGGAACATACCTTTCTCATAACTTCCAAGGTCACTGGATCCTCACAAAATACTTGGTAGGGGAACCTTGAAGATAGGTGAGTGCCCTGCAGAGTGTGGGCACCTCTGTGAAGTCCTGAACCCGAGGGAAGGCTGGATACAGCAGCATGTGTAAAACCAGAACGCCCCACAAGCAGGAAAAGCAATGGAGACACGAAAATGCCTGGGCCTATGGGCCAGGTAACCTGGTATGTGTTGTATCAAATCCCAGACCTCCCAATAAGGTAGACGGTAAAGACTGACAAAAAATGTCCCCTAACCTCTACACACAGTAGGACACACGCATGCCCATGTACATACAAGCATGTTACACACACACACACAGGTAAAACACACACAGTCACAGACACACATGCGCACACACACACACACAGACACACATACACACCACGCATGCACGCATGCACGCACACAGGCAGAGAGAGATCAGAAGGAAATGATCAATATATGCAGCACTAAATGAAGTCAAGCACACTTTATGAACTATGACTATGATTCTCTAGCAAAACATTCCTTCAAAAAAAAAATAAATAAATGGGGAAGAGATTAAGAAGCTCCCAGAGATGAACACTGAGTTAAGGGACTTCAGGTAAGTTAGAAGGAAGGGCAGGACACACAAGAAAGACACTTCTGGAGGCGTGCTTATCTCTATATAGGGGCGATGACTTTGAGAAGCATGTTCTCACTTCAACCCAAACGGACTCTTCCCTACAAGGGCGCAGAGAAGGAGGCAAGTCTGTCCTTAATCTCTCTGCAGTATGTAATGCACCAAGCCACTTCTAGCATTCTGGGCTGAAGAGGGCTGAGCCACGGCTGTGGACACGACACTTACTGGAAACCCCATTCTTCTCACTTAGCTCTGTGGATCATATATATATATATATATCCACATTTGGGATGCCCGCGTCGTAAAATATGCACATGGTTCCTTCCTAAATGTTCCTGAAAAAAAAAAATAACTTTTTTTTTTTTTTTTTTTTAAACAGGGCTTGGGCATGCTCTATTGTTTCAAATGCTTATGAAGACATCTGGGTTCTGTTCATTGTTAGTTCTAGCTGTGGTTTTGATGGCCAAGTGTAGCTGGGTCCACTATAGCATTCCCCTCTGGAGACACAGCTTCATTCTCCAAAGGGCACACCAGTGGCTCCATTAACCCAAGCTGGCTTGGGGGAAATGGCTAGTGCTTTCTCTTCTCACACCTGGAAGCTGAGGTGGGGTAGAATATGGAGAAGTTCCTAAAGGGCTTCCAGACTCTCTTGTCTTAAAATAAAGGAGCTCTGGTCCCCAGAAAGCAAAGAGGCGGTGGTAAACCGATACTGTGGAGCCAGAGCAAATGTGATCAATTATGCTTCAAGAAGGGCCCAGTGAGTGGTCCTTTGCCACTGGGCCTGGGAACTTCCCTTCCCAGCTCCCTCTTCCTCACAGGGAATGTGCTCCCAGCAGGACTTTGCTCAGCCCGGGAGGGAGGGCTCTGGCAGAAATGTAGCCTTTGATCTGTTACAAAAACATCAGAAAAAAGGTAAATCAATTAATTGTCTGAGGCTGCCTGAAAAAACAGCTTCCAGGACAGCCCAGAGCTCCCTCAGCACAGGCCAGGCGGAAGGCACCAGGATAGAGGCAACATTTGTGGTCTGCAGGAAGCCACTGCTCTGTGCTTTTTCTCTTAGGTTTGGGACAGCGTGGCATCGCTCCACCCTGGAGCCAGGCACAGCCAGGTAGATTCAGGGGCAAATCCTGAAACAAGCCGCTAACAGCGCAGGGGAGCACAGAGCAACCCCAGCTAGCCTGTCGTACTGAAGTCCCCACGTCCTGGTAGAGGCGTCCATGCACAGGTGTCCACGGTTCAGCTATGGTGAAGCTGTGTCTCTGTGTTAGAGAGGATCCTTCGCCCTGAAACACACCCCCGAATGCCAGCAAACAGTCTGCCTGTGCTTCCTGCCTGGCTTTTCTTTTAGGAGAAATTCTTTTGTCAAAGGGATTGCTCACTGGGGTTCAGAAAGGCAGGCCATGGGAGCCAGTAGCCTCAGGGGAGACCTTCCTCGTCAGGACGCTTGATTACAATGAGCCTTCTAGGTTCTTTGCTGTACCCTGGCAATGGTAGTGAAGCCAAGTCCCCCAGGAGAGCTTAGCAACCTATCACGGCAGGCTGGCACTGTCTACTCACTGACCACATAACTAAGGAGTGTCAAATAGTGAGCTGCATTCATTTCAATGGCCTTGTCTGTTATATACTCTCCTCCGTGTGATCTGACGAAAGGCAACTCAAGGAAGGAAGGGAGGATTCATTTTTGGTTCACAGATGGAGTTTGCTGTCCACGGCA